TGGTATCGTCATCTGTTTTTTTAAGGATATTAAAGTAGATAAAGAGAACTCACCCTCTCCATTCGTGCAGGTCTTCTTCTTGAAGGACACGGCGTTGATCATGTCCCACTCTGTCTCGTAGCTCTGCTGTGTTTCTAACAGTTGGTGGGACTTCTCACCAGAACACTGGTCCCACTCCATGACTGAACTGGAGTCCTGATGAAACACATAGAGTCACATTTTCTCTGCTTTTCTCAGATGTAAAACTGCTTCTAGTTTCCATCGTGGATGGAAATTATGAACTGAACCAGTAAGAAAGTGGAGGGCTGGTACTCCCTGGTGGTCTGAGTGTTGAGGTCCTGAGCATGAACCACACTGATCCCAGCTGGAGCCAGCGGACCTCTGTTTCATGTTATGTATGTTAGGTTATGTAGTTATACGTAGTATGTAGTTATAAAGATTGTGTATCCGCTGTTACATATTAGGTGTACCTGTAGTTATACATGTAGATTATCTGTAGTTATTTATGTAGTATAATATGAAGCATGTAGCTATATATATATAGCGTGTATATATGTAGTGTATATGTTGTTAAATGTGTACTATGTAGTCATATATGTAGTATATAGGGCTGGGCGATATGGACAAATATTCACATCTCTGTATTTACGGGCTGACTGGCGATACACGATATATATCTTAGTACTTTCTACAAAATGGGCAACATGTTTTCAGTTGCAAGTCAAAGCCACATTTGAGATATTTATTCAGGCTATTAATCTTAGTTATTCACAGAGCATCAACAGAGAGGCCGAGGGAGGGAAGGAGCGAGAGACACTTTGCCCTCATTATATACATCTTGTATATGAAACGTCTGTGTTGTCACTGCATTTTTTTAAATAGATCTGTCGCCTCCATCCAGGTGCTGTCTCCATGTCCAAGGAGAACGGGGACACGCTATGATCCACCTCACACACAAACGCTCATTTGACACAGTCAAGCAGCCCTGTCTCCCACACATGCAGCAAAGCGCTGTACTGCACCTGTGCTACTGCGGCCATTTTATTTATCTTACAGATTGATTTAGGGTAGCATGTGCAACATATCAACTGATGTCGCGCTGTTGACTAATTCGCAGACATATTAAACAGAGTAGCAGCACTGCGTCTCTCTTAGCGTTGCTGTAGAACTTGTGAGTGAGTGAGTGAGTGGGGTGGAGCTGTGTGGAAAGTGTGAGAGAGGAGAGATGGACACTGGTGAGCGTTATGTAATGCAACTTGACCCAATATCGATATAAACAGTGTTGTCTAAATCTGTATCTTGTTTTAAAATATATTGATATACTGCACGGAGTAGTTATGTTGCCCAGCCCTAGTAGTATGTAGTTATATGTGTTATGAAAATGAAAAGAGAAACAGTGAGACAAACCTTTCCAGCACACAGCATGTTTGAAGGGTCGACTGTATCTTCCAGAGGTCTGTACTCCACCATGATTTCAGCATCCTGACATGTGCACACACAAAATGTCCTCAAGTTATTACAACCAGTAAACCAGGAGCCATGAGCCAAAACACACAGTATTATTATGACACAGTAATAAGACACATGGAGAGGAATGTGTGATCTATGAACTGTTTTACTTTGTCAACAATCCGAAGTGACCCCGAAACGAGTAAATCCTGCTCGATGCCGTCTTCATCACTGCTCGGATGGATGAAGACTCCTTCAAGTTCAAATAGAACCTGCGGGACAGATGTTATGTTGACATTAGCTTCAGTTCAGTTTGAACAGGAAGCAGGAAATAACATTGTCATGTCTTTACACTTTTTGTAAAACACAAGAGAATCATTAAAACTCTGTAGCCTACCATCAAGATAGATTCATCTCAGTGGTATTTGTGTGAACAGATTGACAATCCACATGTTAATGTGTAATCTGTAACTATAAAGCACCTTTCACAAATACAAAAAAAGATTTATAAAATCTAAAAAAGATTTTACAAATATACAAAAAAAAACATATGTGAATATCTCCCTAACATCTACAACTTTCAAACAGATATTTCAGAATCAGATTTTTATTTGTGAGTCTTAATTCTAGGCTTGCATATTTCCAATTTAAGCAAACTGAGTCTTTCTTTTGTTTTAGAATAAGTTTGTGTATTTGCAAATCAGTTTTAGATTTGCAAAAATGTTTTTTAAAGATACAAATCTGTTTTAAATGTATAGGTTAATCATTTACACAGAGCCTATTGAACTCCCACAGCAGAAACACTGAGACAAACTTATTTCCATATTTGTGTATTTACAGAACACTATCATACTTGCAAATTAGTTTTCTGAGTTTACAAATCTCTTTTTGTATTTATGGAAGTTGTTTTATATTTACAGATTATACATAAACACACAGACTGTCAGCTGTTCACACAAACAATAGTGAAACTAATCTGTCTCCACACCTACAAGATAACTGTTGACCAATTCTCAGGGGCCCACTGTGTCAACAACCGTCAGCTGGCTTTGTTAGCAACATGCTAATGCTAGCATAGCTTTTAGCATGTCATGTAGGAGCTCACGGGCCGCGATATGCATCCAAAAACTAAATATACAGTTCACTGTAATGCTGTCGTGGCATGTCCTCCTCCTCCTCCTCCTGCTGCTGCTGTGATGATGTCGTTACAATATAGCTAACGTTAGCACAGCGGCTAACTCGAGCTAACTTCAGCTAACTGCTCCGCTGCTTAGCTCGCGAACCCGCAGCTGTAACCTGGGTAACAGCCATACGGACTGACGCAGATATGCAACCCCGGTGAGATCTGAGACTAACAGCCTGTGGCAGAGTCTTTAAACCAGTTCTTAAACATGTTTTTTTACCTTCGGAGCAGAGTCCGCCGCCATGTCGCCTCCTGCGATCTCTCCGAGTGACGTCAGCGTCTCACGTGCCTGTCAATTTCCAAAACAAAACTGACAAGTCAGCTTCCGGTACGCATGCGCACTGCATCTTCAGTTATTTATTTATTTTTATTTCCTTTAAAGATAAAACATATCACTTGTAGTTCATTCTTCGTCTTTTTTATTTTATTTTATTAAGTGTAACTTTCCCCCCACCCACTGGGATTAATAAAGTATTTATCTATTTACTTATACCCTCCTGTTTACATTCTGTTTATATTACTTTTTTCTATATCTTATTAATGTTATACTTATTTCTATTGTACTATGCTTTGATTTTCATTTTTGCTTTCACTTGTGAGATCTTCCTCTTCTCTTGATACATAAAATGTATACTTTTTAATACATAACGAGTATTTTTGGAGGGAGCCTGAGCTCAATGACTGCTTCTCGGAAGCCTAAATAAAGAACTTGAACTTGAACTAAGGGTCAAGGTTCTTTACTGTCAAATGAACAACAATTACAAGAGCAGTTGTTGCCAGTGAAAATCAACAGTGAATATCATTACTTAATCACATTATACATTATTCTGGTGGACTCTGTTTGTTTGCATACATATTAAGCACTACTGTAATTTTATCTTTAGTGCCTCTTGTGAAGTTTTTAGCTGTTTTATTAATTTAGCTTGTCTGCTCTTCTATATCTCTTATTATTCACCGGGGTTATCTTGAAGGCCACAAGCTGAAACATGTTGGTCTAATAATAAAGTTGTTTTGCACACTACAAGTGTTTTAGCTCTTACCTACTTTTTCTCTACTTCATGCACCATGGAAGGTGGAGCTGTGCCAGAAACGTCTTTTTCTGCTTCTAAAATAAAGCCATAGAGAAGAAAACAACTCTTTGCTCTTATGATAAGATAAGATAAGGTAAGATAAGATTAGATTAGATAACATAACATAACATAACATAAATCCTTGTTATCCTGAGAGAAATAGTTTTGCAGCAGTTGTTTTGACAGACTGACTGAAAGTGCAATGACAGATCCCTCACCAGTCAAACATCCTTGATTAAAACAGCAGGGGTGGAAGAAGTACTCAGACGCCATATTGAAGTACCACAGTACAGAAATACTACATGTAAAAGACCGGCAGTCAAAATCTTATATAAGTGAAAGTGTAAAATTTGCATCAAAATAAAGTACCAAAACTAAAAGTACTCATTCTGCAGATTAATATTATTGTATTATAATCATTGATGTGTTTATTTGTTTATCACTTAAATGTTGCAGCTGGTAAAGGTGAGGCACATTTTAATGACTTTTTATATTGCTGGGTAGTTTATTATATTATATATATTAAAATATTTATAATTGATTATATTTGTATAGATATTCTGAATCTGTAAAGAAACTAAAGCTGTCAGATAAAGGTAGTGCAGTAAAAAGTACAATATTTTCCCCTGAGATGTAGTGGAGTAGAAGTACAAAGCAACAGTAAAAAAAAATATACAAGTAAAGACCAAGTACCTCTAAATTAAAACTCAGACTGGTCTTTCTCCTCTTTTTTTAAGATGAAACAAAAGAACAGTATGAACAGAGCTAGGGGTATATCACACTAGACAAAAATACTGTAAAACCGTTATTCACCGTTATTTTTGTTGTAGTTTCACATTTGCTCAACATCCTTCAAAAAAGTTTTATTCATAGCTAAAATGCCCACATCATTATCAAATGTCTTTACTTAAAGAAGAAACCAAAAACCACATTTTCCCATAGTCATATAAAGTCATTAAAGATCATGACCATCTTGTTGCCGTGAGAACAAAATGAAAAAAAAAAAAACCTCCATATAGTGATTGGCAGGGTAATATCCTGGATGTATAATGAGAAACATATTATTAATATTTGTGAAAAAAATTGAAGGAACTCCCTGAAAGAAATCTATATAATATAATATAATATAATATAATATAATATAATATAATATAATATAATATAACATTTAAGATTCTAGTTTTATTATTTTATTACTGTGCATAAACTTTCCCACATTGGGAATAATGAGTCACTTCTCCTTATATGGGCAGCTTCCTTTCTCGTCAGTCTCGTGGTGTATCGTGAGAGTTGGGTGAGAGCAGCAGAGAAGAAGCTAGCTGTTAGCTAACCGTCAGAACGGACCGACTGTGTGTCCGGTGAAACATGAATCTAACGGTTTCAGCCCGGTGAGTTTACAGCCGGCAGCTCGCTGGTCACATTGGACATTATTAAAAGATGGATCTAAACACGAGGAGCGGTTCTCCCAGAGAGGAGGGCGAGCTGGAGGACGGAGAGATCTGCGATGATGAAACCGAGGAAAGTGTGCCACTCCGGCGGGGGGATGGTAGCAGGCCCGGCCGCGGCGCTCCTCCACGGACACGAAAACCTCGCCAACACCCGCACGACATGCCGCCACACCTGGGTCACCAGCCGCCAGACTTTCGCCTCATGATGCCGTACAACCGCGGACCTCACGGACACGGCCCGTTCCCCCCGAGCCACCGGCAGCAGTGCGGGCCGAGCGGGCCCGACCGGCCTCCGGCTCCGTCCACTCCGCCGCCTCCTCCGCTGCTGCTGCCCCCGGGGCTCGGTCCTCACGGCGAGCCGAGCCCGAGGACCAGCTTCTGGGAACGGAGCCACGGCGCCCTGGGCCGGTTCAGGCACCGAGCCATGCCGAACGGTGGACGCGGGGGCTGGAACCGTGGCAACCGGGGCGGTGGTAACACCAGAGGTCCCCCCGGTCGTTACGGGCCCGGAGAGAGCCACGGTAACAAGAAAGACTCTCCCATGAGAAAACGTATCCTCTCATTCAGTGTGCTAATTGATTTACCACAACATAAACACACAGTGATTGAATTATCTGATTACAGGCCAGACTGTTTAATGTTTGATGAGACACAACCAGAGACATTAATGTCATAATTATAAACCTTCCATATTAATACTGCTGTTTCTATTTAAAGTACTGCATTTAAAATCTTATATAAAAGTACAAAGATTGCCTTCTTACTGATTCTCTGTAACATCAAGGGACTGTTCTTTATTTATACAAGGAGAGGAGTTGCTGGGGTGTGACTGTTATTGTTTTGTTCCTTTAATCTTATCCCCCACCCTAAGTAGGCCCTAAACATTTTTATTATTTACACCAAATGTTGGAATTTAAGCCAGCACAACGAGCAAACGGCACTGAGGGAGTGAGAGACTAATCACTAGAACAAACAGGAAACTTCTTCAGCAAAATGCAAATCCTCCCTACACATTGCATCATGATCACACAAGCTGTGAGTGCACTTCAGCAGAATAATGGTGCATGACAGCCACCTGTGCTTCAACACAAAACCAACAAAATGTATTCCGGGTACGCGCTCATTACAGCTCACACACAGCTCACACACAGCTGACATTAGCAACATGTGAACAGTGACAATTTTCCCAAATAAACTGTACACAACAGGCCAGCTAGAATAAGATCAGCAGCTTGACATGGCGGACAGAAGTTGAATAGAAACCCTGGAGTTGAATTAAAAAGGCCTTGGTTGTAAACTGTATGATGACACATGTAGATGAAGTGATTTTTTTAATGAAATATTGCTATTTTAAGCTTTGATTTGGTTATGTTTCCTGACAGAAGTGTTCGTTATGCACGACATGTTCAAGGACCATCAAAACTTGATTGTTAATTTCTGTTTTCACAGTTTCATGCTGTGATGAAAAATGTGATTTTGGCAATTTTTAAAGAAAACAAACCTTCCTAACCTGCTGGCATGTTTAGGGGTTCAGAGGGTATTTAGAATTAACACAAAATACAACCATTTAAAATTGTATGACCCTTTCCTTGGCCAAAATATAAAACACAAGCTTCCCAGTGCTTAAAAAATTACTTGACATGCCTCCCCCGTTTTGCACCACCCCCTCCCCCATTATAAAGTAACAAACAGTCCCTAAACAGGATCCATGTGTCTTTGTAACAGCCAAAGGTTTTACTATGAAACTGTTTCTGTTGAAATAACATCAGTAATCTTGATAATGGATTAATCATTTGAGTCTTTTTTTCAGGAAGATCACTAATGAATATTTTCTGTTTCCTCTGTGACTGCAAACTGAATGTGACATCAATGAAAGCGTTGAAAAAAGATGTTCAGATAATCTTTCCTTAATGCGAGGCCTCAGAGAAGCAGCAGGGGAGGAACCAGGGAAGGAAAGCTGCTCACAGTGTTTCCAAACCAGAGAACAGTGTTGACGAGTCCTTCGAGGACTTACTCTCCAAGTATAAGCAGATCCAGCTGGAGCTGGAGTGCATCCGCAAAGAGGAGACGATGGCTCTGGAGCCCAAAGTGTCCCCCGCCAGAGACCAGACCCCAGACCACACTGCCAGTATCACAGAGACCAAACCAGTACCTGAAACAGTATCTGAACCAGTACCTGATCCAGCTCAGGCTGCAGCAGCAGCAGCAGCAGCAGCAGTAGCAGCAGCAGAGGAAGCATCAGAGAAGAAAGTGTTCCAGGCGTTCAACATTAAACCACTCCGTCAGAAACTCCCTCCTCCTGTCAGTCTGCAGGAGCTGAAGAAGAAGTGGGTGGAGCAGGAGGGAGGAAGCCACGCTGAGGATGAGGGTGAGCAGTCAATCAGTTAATCAGTCAGTCAGTTTTATTTGTCACATGGGTCGATCCATACCAACTCACAAGAACCTCCCAGTTCATGGCATGGATATATTACTGAAAAAAATCAAGCTTACTAAAAATTATTAAATAATGAAGACATCATACAACAGCTTTATTTTTACATCTTAAATGAATATTAACATTTTCCCATTTAAAAGTTGAATGGAAGTTAGAATAATCCTTCTTGGGAAAATAAAACAGTCAGAATATCTTATTATATTTACCTCTGAGATCTTTGACACTCATTTTTTTTTCACTCCAGTGAAACGCCATCCCATTGGCACCTTAGATTGGTGCATTAGAAAGAGATCGAGTAGAACAGGAGTAGTTACAACATATGTGTAAGATGGAAAGTGTTCGTTCAGTGTCAAAGTCTCCAAAGAATAAATATTTGAAGCCAGAAAGTCATGTGCAGCAACTTAAACAAATTGTTGACATGTTAAACAAGTTCAGACAGAAGTGACATTTTGTCTGTTTGTCACTATGATCTGAGATTTGATCGACCAAACAATCAGAGAAATAATCAGTAACCAAAAGAAGAGAAAAGAGTCGATAAGTTGATTAACATCCAATGAATTTGTGGTATTTGATGAGCCATGTGTGTCACTTTTCAAGCTGCTCAGCTGTGATGATTTACTGCTGTAGTTTTAATGTCAGATAATTCTCAGGCATCACAAACAGATTCTCACAGACACAAAGTTAAATAAGAGAGCAATCACAAATTGAAAGTTATAATTTAAAAAATCTGTATTTAAAGTGAACTGTTGAAGCTCAAATAATAAGTGTGGTTTCACTTACTGTGTGCGTCATCAGGTGGTGAAGAAGGAGAAGAAAGAATGACACAAGATGGAGCAGAAACGGAACAAAAAGCTGAAGAAGAGTCAGAGGGCACGAAGAAAAAGACGGAGACGTCTGAGTGCAGTGGAGAGGAAATGCTTAAAAACGATAAGGAGGAAACTAAGCTGACGTGTTCGAGTCGGAGATCATCAACCTCCAGCGAGGACTCTGTTGTCATGATAGACAAGGTGAGGAGGAGCAGAAAAAGGAGGAGGTGATATTTGTGTTACTGGAAGGAAACGCACAAGGAATTACATAGTTGAGATAGTTGGTGTGGCAGCTTCTAGTTTTCTTCATCTTTAATGATTTTGTGAAGCAGCAAACACATTTGAAAAGTTATTTTTTAAGAGGTGAAACATTTATGAGTGTCCTGGGTATAACTGTGAGCTCTTAATTGTATCTCAGAGATCACAGCTGTTATTAAAGGAATAGTTCAGAATTTTGGAAGTGGGATTATATGGGGTACTAATTCATAGCACCCAGTTTGGAGAAACAGGCTGTAGTCTGACATGGAAGCTAAGCAATGTACTGCTGTGGAGGGCGATTGGCAGCCCATTTTTGCTTTCATCAGACCCATCAGACTCAGTTGACAAAAACCGTAATTGCTCAACACGTGAGCTGCTGGTCTACTGCTACCTTGAGCAGTTACATAGTTAGTGTCATTGTGTGACTTTGGTAAGTCTAAACTCACCCTTTACAACACCAAAGTCACACAATAACACAAACAAACTAAGTGGTTGAGGTAGTGGTAGACTAATAGCTCCTGTGTTCAGCTATGTTAAATCACTGTTTTCTCAATGGATTCTGGCTTTGAAGAAAGCGACCTGACGACTTCATTTCCCCATAGGAAGTCACTGCCTGGCTGTAAAGTAAAGCAGTGAAAATACTCTCGATGTAGCGCGCACTTGAACTGATAATAAGTATAAGGACTACAATGCTGCTGCCCCCTGTCCCAGCAGCACATCCCTTAGCTCTTGTGTTGGGCTCCTGCCTGCTTCACCAAACCAGGGGTGTGCCGACAGACATCTACTGTTGGTAATATACTGTCTGTGGATAAGTACCTCATACAACCCCACTTTAAAAAATATGAACTGTCCCTTTAAAGGTCTGCTGTGTCACTCTGCTGTAGAGATTCAGAGAAATGAGAACGAGCTGCTCCATTTTCTCACTCTTGTTTGTAACTCAAAGTAAACACAGGGAGTTGACTGCTCAGGGATCTGCACCTGGCTGAAATATACCAAAATATGTTCTTTAATTATAAAGAATATTTTTAATATGTAATGAATCTCTGAAACTCTGTATTTGAATGTGTTTTAGGAGCAGCCAGTGGTGCGAGTGGAGGAGGAGGAGCTGTCAGAGCTGCAGCTGCGCCTCCTCGCTCTGCAGTCGGCCAGTAAGAAGTGGCAGCAGAAGGAGCAGCAGGTGATGAAGAAGAGCAAAGACCGGATCACAAAAGCGGTTCAGGAGAAGAGCTCCAGCTCTGGAGCTGCTGCTCCTCTGAGCAGGCAGAGAGTCACCACCAGGTCTGCCTCCACTGCTGCAGCTGCTGCTGCTGCCGCCGCTGCTACTGCAGACAGGAGCAGAACCAGGTCCAAACCTCTGGAAAGGGAGCGGGACAGAACTAAGAGTGGGTCCAGAGCTGCAGACAGAGACAGAGAGCGGCCTCAGGAGAGAGACAGGCCCAAAGCCAGTCCTAAACCTGGACCCAAAGCTCCGCCGGAGAGAGGGCGAGCTCCAGGGAAACCTCACGCAGCCAAGAAGATGATCAGCCCAGGTGAGACGGGTCCAAACCTGCAGTCACATGCTCACATCTGCAACCAGGCCAGGCTACTGTATATAATACAATACTTAACACATGGTCAAGGTAGTTATTATAACTTAATGTAGATAATAGCTGCTGCATAGGCTGTGTCCTGAGTCCTGCACGCAGACTACGGCTTCACCAGCAACCATGGACACAGTGGAAACATGACTAATAGTAATAATAAAAACATTGTGTCTCAGGCTCAGCGGCGAAGCAAGCGTTCAGGAAACAACAGCTGAGGACGTGGAAGCTGCAGCAGCAAAGAGAGCAGGAGGAGAAACGTCGACAGGAAGAGGAGGAGCGACGAAAACGAGAAGACGAGATCCGACGAATCCGGGATCTGTCCAATCAGGACGAGCAGTACAACCGCTTCATGAAGCTGGTGGGAGGGAAGACGAGGACGCGCAGCCAGGTGAGACGGCACAAACTGGTCAGTGTTATCGCCTCAGTCTCAGAGACAAGTACACATCAATATTCTGCCTGTTAGTTTCTCAATTTAAAGGTCCAGTGTGTAAGATTTAGGAGGATTTAATGGCTGTGAGGACTGCAGACTGCAACAAGCTGAAACTTCTCCTTGTCATAAGATATATATATGTATAGCTTTCATTGTCAGGAGGTTTTTACCAGGAACCAAGTTATCGGCTCTTCTCATATTCAGGTGATTATACACTAAAGAAAACATACTTCTTATATTCCATATCTGCCAATATATTCCCCTAAATCAAACACACTGAACCTTTAAAGAGTTACTGGTCCATAAGTTTCTTCTTCGTGTGCTCTCAGTTGTAAGAAACACCACATAAGAAGAGTGACAGGCTGTGTGTTTGTGTTGTTCAGTCCAGAGATGGAGAACACAGGAAAAGTGCAGGTAAACAGGGACTGGATGCCTCTGGGAACCTCTACCAATACGACAACTACGATGAGGTTGCCATGGACACGGACAGTGAGACGGGATCACCAGGTGAGAAGAGTCTCGAGGTCTTGTGACTGTCTGTCTGGTGACTGTTCTCCAAAGAAATGATCAGCTTCATGTCGCAAATCAGGAGCTGCAGTTGTTTATTCGATGTGTCAGAAACATTTATGGTTTATCAGATACTACTGTGCTGCTCACATCATTTACAAGTTGTAGAAACTATTTGTAATAGTAATAGCAATATAGTAGTAACTTTACTACTAAATATACTTAAATATACAGATCAATAATATGTCATTCATTCACTGTCACATGAGTACTGTGTGGAGAGCAGGTTCACATGTCCTCTTCATCATAAGTCTACACAACACAGCTGTTCAGACTTCCTGTTTACATTATAATCTATAAAAAAGCTCTTCCTGTTTGTTGTTTCAGTCTCGTCTCCGACACACAACAACCCGCTGATTGCAGACGATGCAGTGTGTTTCCCTCCCATGTCTCTGTACGTCGGCGACGCTCTTCAGTTTGGACCGGTACGCTCTCTGCTTCATCTCTGTGATGTCACTGAGCTCCAAATAAGTGACACTGCAGTTGTTCACTTCTCTCCTGTATAAATAGAAAATATGCTTTTTTTTTACTTTTAGGAATAGTCACAAACTGCCAGTGTTTAAAAGTGCTGACATAAATGTCCCTTACCTGACACTGCTGTCTGATTGCCCCTCTTTGAACAATCTCTCTCTCTCTCTCTCTCTCTCTCTCTCTCTCTCTCTCTCTCTCTCTCTCTCTCTGTCAGGATTTCTCTCAGCCGTTCCTCTCCCCCATATTGTCCGGTGTTCCTCCTCCACCTCCACCTCTCCCCCCTCCACCAGACGAGCCAGAGCCTCCTCCCAAACCTCCCTTTGCTGATGAGGAAGAGGAGGAGGAGATGCTACTCAGAGAGACCTGTCTGATGTCGATGGCCAACAAGAGAGTGACAGCCACAGAGGTGATTGTGCTGCTGCTGCTGCTGGTGTTACTCCATCAGCCTGATCAGTATTTCAGAGTCAGTCAGTGTTTGACAGCCTGAAGTCCATTCACACAGCCGATGAAATGAAGTAAAACACACCAGCAGTCTTCAGTCAGTCAGGACTGATGTTCTGTTTTGATAAATACAGATCACAGTGCATTCATACCTCTGCTAAGTCCATGATGTGTTTCCTCTCTCTCTGCAGGAGAAGACCTCCAGCGGTCCTCCGTCTCCCAGCTGTCCGCTGGCTGCAGGCATGCAGCAGCCAATCAGAGGCAACCTGAGCACTGTCAGTCTGAACACCGTCACTCAGTCAAGAAGCAACAAGTTCAGTAGAGGACATCACGCTGCCAGAGCTCCGCTGATGGTAACAGCCTCACACTCTCATATTCAGTTACCACAGTCACACACACAGAGTGTTCATTCATAGACTTATATGGGATTTATACTTCTGCGTTGGATCGACGCCATACCTATTAAGTTACAGGGTAGCCTGATGTGCACCTCCCCAGAAATGCAACTGCGTGTCACAGAGATGCAGACCTCCTGTCTATTTCTGTAAACTGAAACCATTTCCCTCAGTGGAAACAAAGCTTTGATTTAGTTTAATTTCACAGATCAGAAACAATAAATTGTGAAGACAATTAAGTCTCCATAAAAATAGCATTTTAAGTCTTGTGTGTGATTTATCCTGGCTTCCTATGAGTAGAGGAAATCTCTGCTGGTCGCTAGGCTAATTTATACACTGTAAAATGCCATAGGCTTGTGCTATTAATGTTAGCATGTTGTATTTGTGGGGAAAATGTGTCCAGCAAAAGACAAATGCTTTGTCTGTGAATGCTGAGAGTTATAGTGAAGCTGATTTGTGTTTGATATTGTCTCTACTAATCCATGTTTAAAGTGTGTTTTGGGTGTGTTTTGAGACACAGACACACCACCACACAAAGTATAAATGCTCACAACAACATAGGCTACGGCGAAGGCTCTGCATAGAGCTGGTGGACAAGTATAAATCCAACTTTACAGAGACCTCAGGCTCATCCATTCCTATCATTAATGATGATGATGATCAGTGTCTCACCTGGCTGTGTTTCCCCCTCCAGCTGCCTCGACACAAGTCAGTGGTGGTTTCTCTCAAAGACTCTGATGACAGTGACTCAGACATGGATGCCTGCAGCTCCTCTCAGTCAGCGTTTGGAGGACTGGAGTTCATGATCAAGGAGGCCCGGAGAACAGTGGAGGTCAGTCCCACTCTCTGCTGCTGCATGTGGCTCTCACAAACACTATTGTGTATCACGTGTGGATAACTAATCACTGACCCTAGTTTTGCTGTCTGTGTGTGGTCCAGGCAGCGAAGCCTAAAGCAGCGTCGGGCTCTGAGAAGGAGAACAACCCACTCAGAACTCCAGAGGCTTTACCTGAAGCTAAGAGAGCAGAGTACCGCCTGCTCAAAGAGGAAATCGCCAGGTAAATACAACACCAACCAGAGACAGCATCACATTTTGCTGTGGGAACATGTCAGATGTTTAACCTTTTCTTTGCAGCCGGGAGAAGCAGAAGATGCTGAAGGATCACAGTCCGAGTCCTCGTGGCTCCGGCTCTCCTGCTGTCTCTGAATCTGTGCTGGATCCATCAGTGAAGTCCTCCACAGAGCTGAAAGTGTCTGAAGCAGAGCAGAAACTCAGCAAACACAGGTGAGAGCTTCATCACAGGGCGACCAGGTGATCAGCATGGTAGAGATCAATATCACTGTGGCTCTGGAACAATCAGTCTAATGCTGCTTCATGCTGGTCTGTAAATTAACCTGTTTGTTGTCAGGTAACAATGTTAAATCATAGTCTCTCCATGTGTGTCTCAGGGAGCTGCTGCAGCGAGACGAGGCCATCCTCAGACAGCTGCTCCACCAGGAGCTTAAGAAGAGAGAGTCTCTGAAGGCTGCTGAGACCAAAGTGTCCAAACTGAGAGAGCAGCTGCAGGCGTCAGAGAAGATCGTCAGTGCCAACAAGACGCTGCTGAAGAAGCTGCAGGAGCAGGTGGGAGTGGCCTCACAGTCTGAGCTGTGAACTTATACTGTTAGAAATAGTTCATATCACATAATCAATACAGGTCTGGACTGAAATATAAACAAACGCTAGCCCTTCTAGCCAGTGTTAGCTAGCTAGCTATGATATTATTGGTACATTTTCCATTTTCTTGCATTGCCTGTCTCCTGACTCAGTGCCAGCCAGGCAGTATCTCTCCTGTGGAGCATTTTCCTTTTCTCATACAATATTATCTGGTTAAACACAGCAACAATCCCTGTCTCCTCCACACATACATCATTGCTGTTGGTTAGGCTGCGACTTTGCCGGTCAGAGTTGAACTCTGTGATATGAAGATGAGAATTTGCTTTGCCACTGGAAGGAAATGCTTTATTTGCTGCTCTGCTGGCATTGAATGGAAGTGAATGGCAGGCAAATATTTACCAATGTTAATTTAGCTCATGTGTGACCGTGCCCCTGGTGTAGTCATTAGTGATAACAACATAAAGCGGTGCAACAGTGTTGACCTCCTCAGATTATCAGCACGTGCAAACTTGAATGAATGCCAATAACACAGACAAAATGCACACTGGAAATAACAAGAGAGCGTGATGGGAAATTAAAATCAAAGAAATATGAAAGACATTCTCCACATTATTTGTTTTTTCTGACATTTGCACCAACACTGATTATATGTAGTTACTGATATCAATGCCTTTGACCTGTGGACACGTTGAGATGAAGCTCTGAACCAAACATGTTGCTGTTGTGAGGAAACTTTACAAACACATCTGTACTGGTACTTGAGTCCTGCTTGTTCATATCCCACCTGACATCCTCCTCCTCCTGTGCAGGTGCATCGTGTTGAACATCGGGTGTCCATAAAGAAGTCTGTGGCTGCACGGTTGGAGAAGGAGCTGACTGAGGCTCAGCTGGCTGCAGGCAGAGGACCAAAACGCAGAACAGATTCCAGCCAGACTCTGGTGAGAAGAACACTGATTTTAAAGTTAGACTGATGGTGTTACTTTGCAGCTCTCTGACTGAGTGTTGTTTCAATAATGAGGCAGGCAGAGATGAAGAACTACAGCTCAGTGACACAATAACATTTACATGCTGCTGTTTATGCAAAGGGAATGATGATCACAACAGCTTCATCCTCTCTGGAGACAGTGAGGGACTCGATCTAAAGGAACAAACTCTGACTGGGTCCATAATAAACTTGTCTTTGAGCTCAGGGATCAGGCAGCACCATATTAGTCTTTGACCTGATTTCTTTGTGAAATGACTTGTAAGTAAAGACTGTTTTATTGAAAAATGCTGATTTATACCTCATGATGTATCTGTGATGTCTCAGGAGTCATTTCACACCTGACTGAGAGACACCTGTTAGCCTCTGGCTCTCACCCCTGTTAGCACCTGGCTCTCAACCTGTTAGCATCTGGCTCTCACCCCTGTTAGCCACTGGCTCTCACCCTGTTAGCCACTGGCTCTCACCCTGTTAGCATCTGGCTCTCAACCTGTTAGCATCTGGCTCTCACCCCTGTTAGCCACTGGCTCTCACCCTGTTAGCCTCTGGCTCTCACCCCTGTTAGCCACTGGCTCTCACCCTATTAGCATCTGGCTCTCAACCTGTTAGCATCTGGCTCTCACCCTGTTAGCCACTGGCTCTAAACCTGTTAGCATCTGGCTCTCACCCGTTAGCCACTGGCCCTAAACCTGTTAGCCACTGGCTCTCAACCTGTTAGCCACTGGCTCTCACCCTGTTAGCCACTGGCTCTCAACCTGTTAGCATCTGGCTCTCAACCTGTTAGCCACTGGCTCTCAACCTGTTCGCATCTGGCACTCACACCTGTTAGCCACTGGCTCTCATACCTGTTAGCCACTGGCTCTCAACCTGTTAGCATCTGGCTCTCACACCTGTTAGCCACTGGCTCTCAACCTGTTAGCCACTGGCTCTCACACCTGTTAGCCACTGGCTCTCACACCTGTTAGCCACTGGCTCTCACACCTGTTCGCATCTGGCTCTCACGCCTGTTAGCCACTGGCTCTCAACCTGTTAGCCACTGGCTCTCAACCTGTTAGCATCTGGCTCTCACACCTGTTAGCCACTGGCTCTCACACCTGTTAGCCACTGGCTCTCACCCCTAATAATAACGGAATAATAACGGAACATTTACTAACGTTACCGTTACCGGACAGCCTGTTGTTCCACCGGCTGACCCCGAGAGGAGATTATCGTGACCGTAACTGATGTGTTAACGGCACATTTAAACGGTAATAAGTTACAGCGAGCCGCCGTTAGATATAACCCGGTAACGTTAGCTCGGTGCTAACGTATAGTTTGATAACATTGGTTCTCTGCTAACGAGTAGCGTTAGCTGCTGTATACCTGTCTGTTATTATAACGTCACCTGTCTGTTATTACCTTGCTGAGGTGTTGATCAGCAACAAAGGTAAATGGCGGTTTAGGTCTTCATAACTCGTTTATTTAAACACGTATTATTTCTATATTCGACAGTTAGCTTTAGCCTCACTGAGCAGCTGATGGAGTAAACGCGCAGTTAGCTAACGTTAGTTCTCTGCGTTAATAACACGTTAGCGTTAGTTGCTGTGTACCTGTCTGTTATTATACCTGTCTGTTATTACCTTGCTGTGGTGTTTGGTCAGTGACAAGGGTAAATGGCGTTTTAGGTGTTCTTGACTCGTTAGTTTAAACACTTATTTCTATAATCGACTGTTAGCTTTAGCCTCATTGAGCAGTTGATGGAGTGAATGCACAGTCAGCTTACGTTAGCTTAACTCGTTTAACAGCCTACTAACATGACTTCATAAAAATCTCAAGTTTACCTGAGCAGGTAGCTGATGTGTGGATTCAAATCTACAGCTCCCACACATGAAGTCAAAGATGTATTAAGATCATTTCAATATTTACTGAACAAAGACAAATATGTGCCTGTACGAACACTGAAATTATGTGTTAACAAAAAGTCTTCAGGGTAACCTTCATGTATGATCACATGAACTTTCTGAGCAGTGAAACTGCATTTAAAAAACAATTTGATCTGAGTGATTACAGACAGTATATGAAATGATGCTGCAGTTTGTAGTCCGGCAGAGTTATTGTTGTACAATTGTTGTTCTGTTTACATGAACAGAAAACAGTGTTTGAATTAGTCACACCAGGTGTCTTTGTCAGCTCTAAATTCAGAAAGGCGTGTGGACACTAATGTCTCTTTCTCCCCTCTCAGCCCAATAAGCTGCAGCGTCTGGACGGAGCTCCTCGTGGATCGGAACGCCACTTTGCGGAGCTGATCGCTCAGAAGCAGCGGTTGCAGCAGCTGGAGTCAGAGTACGCCCTGAAGATCCAGAAGCTGAAGGAGGCTCAGGCTCTACACAACAAAGGGTTGACATTAGAGCTGCCTGTGGAGCCACTGCTACGAGCCTCCACCCCTCCTGAGCGTCAGACCCAGATCCCACCTCCCTCCTCCCCCTTCTCTCTGCCCCAGCCCTCCCTGCACGACCTCACCCAGGACAAACTCACCCTGGACAGCGAAGACGTCACAGAGGCCGATGATCATGAGTCAGAATCGGCACCTACTGCAAGAGGAAGCCGCCGAAACTCCCTCCGTCAGTCCAGCTGCTCCTTCACCAAACCCCACCTGGAGCAGCTGAGCTCCCCTCCAGCGAAAGAAACCAGCTCCAAACCTGCCAAAACCTCTGCCCAGACCTCCGCCAAGATGTCAGCCAGCTGCACGCTGCCTGCAGAGGTGTTTGCAGGGCAGGACATGGAGGCTCTGAAGCTGAGGTACCAGCAGCAGCCCCGACTGGGAGAGCTGTTGCAGAGGGAGCTGCAGAGAGTGGGTGGACATGTCCACAACCCTGCCAATAAAAAGGTGACTAGCACAACTTTAAACAGCTTTTCCTAAAACAGTTTATTTGATCTGTGAGGATGTCTACAGGTGTGGGAAAGTCCTGAAAAGCACAGAGTTCAGTTAAGTTTGAAAAAAGTCTTAAACGTGGTCTGGTGGCTTCTGCAGGAGGTCGTGAGGTCAGACTTGAGTCCAAACAGATGTCATGATGGTGTTTTTATAGATGCAGTTTCATTGTTTTTATTGTCACATCATATTTAAGTTTCTATATTTGAAACAAAGTGTTAAAATAATCTGAAGTTTTCATGTAGATATGTCTCACTGTGTTTACATGATCTCTCCGTCTCTGTGCAGGTGGTCGCCATGGAGGTCGACACAGTAACGAACCAATCAGGGAGCTCTGAGCTGAAGCCTGTTCCCTTTGGGTCATATCACAGCCCTCTGTTGGTCTTCAGGTCATACAGGTACATTTACATCATATCGTGTGATGTTATATTTTATTATATTATATTGTATTGCATAGTTTTATATTGTATTACATTACATTATATAGGGCAACTCAGAGTTGTCACTTAAGCAGTCACCCACTGACACTGTGCTGATGATAGATAATACTGCATCATAACACAGCTCAGCCTGAAACCAAAACATCCCAGTGTGACCTTCTGGGCCTCCGTATTAATAGAAACAATAAAATTGATAAAAGAAAACAAACAGCTGCAATAAAAATATACGGAAGTAGAGAGGAAGTCACAGTCCAGCCTGCTATGATACACACAAATCTGTAAGGGCAGCCCATGTATATGTCTTCATATTTTTACAGACTACTAGAAGTAGAAGATTAGTATGACACATTTGAAGTTCACAAGTGTAAACTTAATAGTCATGGGGATGTGTGACTGGGATGACGGGGGAATTAAAACTAAGGCTTATTCTGTGCAAAGTTTGTATGTTTGTGCAGTGTTTATAGTTTCAGTTACAGCCACCCTAAATCCACATGTTTTGTGCCTTTGTTTTGCCTGTTTTGTATAATGTCTATCCTGTGTGTGTCTCAGGTTCAGTCCGTATTACAGGACCAAGGAGAAGTTGTCTCTGAGCTCCGTCACATATAGCAACACCATCGAACCAAAAAAGTGTTTCTGTCGCTTTGATCTCACAGGAACCTGCAACGACGACGACTGCAGATGGTGAAAACATATCATTATTATCATTATTGTCATTATTATTGATATTACTGTGTCCTTTATGGTTTTATGATATACATATATCTGTGTATTTGTCTTTGTGCACTGCAGGCAGCACATGAGGAACTGCACTTTGACTGGAAACCAACTTTTCCAGGACATCCTGTCATACAATCTGTCTCTGATCGGCTGTTCTGAGACCAGCTCAGACGAGGACATCAGTGTCGCCACAGGTTGGCCTCACAGTAATACGTTAGTGTGTCTCAGACAGTCGTGGACACTTGATTCATTTGTTCTCTGTGCTTCTGTAGAAAAGTACATGAAGAAGCTGTTTGGCACGAACAAAGACCGCATGGGGGTCGACCAGAAGGCCGTCCTCCTCGTCAGCAAGGTCAACGAAAGCAAACGACACGGTGAGTGAACTTTTAACTTTCATCGTCATCATCATCAGAGAAAGTGTGTCCTGTCCTCTGACCTCTGTGTCCTCCTTCAGTCCCTCCATTCACCACCTGTAAAGACACGAGGACGTGGAGGCCGAAGCCGTCTGCGCAGAGCAGTTTCAGGCCAGAGGATGACAGCGAGGACGAGTCTGCAGGAGGAGAGATGACGCCGCCAGGGAGACTTGGTGAGGAAGAGGAACAGCTTTCAGGTTGTTTCCTCAGAGAACGAGAGCTTTAATGAACGTGATTATGAAGTCATGAAAGTGATCCCATTGATGAGACGCTCAGAGTCACAGACTGTTGTAAGTGAAGCCGGACGGAGAAAAAACAAACGTGTCCTCCAGTCATGTCGTGTTTGTTGGTCTCCAGATTAAAGTTGGTGCTTTAAATTTGTATTTCATAGACACACTTCAAACGCAGGCTGTCACTATAACTTGAAATTATATATGTTATACCGTATTAACATCAGCTGCCTGTCTGTCTTTGTGTCCAGATGGCGTCTCCAGGACCAACATGTCTGCTCTGGACGTTTGCGTCACATCAGAGGACAAACGTTATTTTGTCAGTGAGACGGACGACATATCAAACCTGGAGAGCAGTGTCCTGGAGAGTCCCTGTGACACTCAGCTGTGGATCAAATTAGCCTTCAAATACCTCAGTCAGAATGAAACGTAGGTCACACACCAGCTGCTGCTTCATCACCTCATCTTAACTGCTTCAAAGGTTGACTCATCTGCCTCTTTCAGGGTTTTTCAAATGGAAACACCCACTCAGCTGTTCGTAAAAAGCAGTGACGTAGGTTGGAGTGATAATAATAACAACTGAAGAGGACAGTTAAGAGCTTTTGAATTTTACCTGTCAGAACACAGGAGCTACCTAGGTCAGCCAGTTTGTGTTATGTGTGACTTTGGTGAATCTGAACGTATGTGGCGTTAAGTTGTGGTGGTACCTTTCTGATATTTCATCTGGGTGTACAGAATATGACGGTATTTGTGTGTGATGCTACAGCTTTCCTGCTGTTTGACTAAACAAATGTGTATTTTAAATTTGTATGTTTGGATTCTAATACATCAGGAACACTCCTGTAGTTGACAGTATGATGTTCTTGTGCAGGTCTGCAGCAGAGTGTTTAGAAGCCGCCCTGAACACGTTGTCTCGCTCTCTGGAGACTAACTGTGATGACCCGGAGGTGTGGAGCCACTATCTGTCGCTGTTCTCCAGGCGGGGCAGCAGGGAGGAGGTGCAGGAGATGTGTGAGATGGCTGTGGAGCACGCGCCCCACTACCTAGTGTGGTGGAAAGTAAGTCCCCAGGATCACGGCTCGATAGCGTGTTGACTGTGAATATTTCACTAGTGAGTTTTTTATTAGCAGCTGCAGACATTACATAGCTGACAGTTTCATGTATGTAAATCCGTGTTTGCACAACCAAGACTCATTACTTAAAGTTTTACAGGTCTTATGCTCATGGTTTACTGTTTGCCAAAGAATCTGATCTGAAAGTGAAACAAAGCTGGTCTGTGTGCAGTTCGCAGCTGTTTATGTGTTGATGTTTTCCTCTGACAGTATTTAAACCTGGAGAGCTCGTTCGAGGGGAAGGACTACGTATGTGATCGTCTGCTGCAGTTCCTCCTCTCTGAAGCTTCTTCTGGTGTCACAGACAAGCTGTCCTTCCAGCTGATGGAGGCTCTGCTTTACAGAGTCAACCTCAACCTGTTTACAGGCCGCATGGAGAGCGCCCTAGCTATTCTCCAGGTGATGCATCACCCCAGACTAGACACACAAAAACGGTGCGCCGATAGGCTGTAGCTCTGTTTCTGCATCAGCTGTGAGTCTGTACACAGTTATTGAGAGGAAGAAACCTTCAACAATTTATATGAACTCTGAATGTGGCGCTTTAACTCCGTATGTGTGAGATGAAGATTTCTCTTTAGCTGTGGAGGTCTTTCATTCAGGGGTGCACTACCACAAACCAAAGCACAGAGCAGTTAAATGACCACTAAAATTAAAAACTAAAGACGGTTTGTGTTTGTGTGCAGAATGCGTTGAAGTCGGCCCACGAAAGGAGCATCGCTGAGCACCTGACGGCCAGCGACCGGGCACTGCTCTGGCTCTCCTACATCCACCTGACAGAGTTCGACCGGCTGCCGTTGAGCCTGTTCGACCCGGCAGAGTCCGGCCCCTCCAGACTGGTCAGCAGAGAGTCCTTCCTGCTGCCCTGGAGGACGCCACAGGACATCAGCACGCCGCTCCACATCCTCATCGCTCTCTTCCAAGGTACAACTGTGATGTCGTAAATCACAAACAGAACTGTGGTGTGTGTAGTGTCATTTGTTAATGACAACATTGAGCTGTTTTATTGATATGATATTAATGATGATAAATGTGTGACGGTTCCCTGTCAGACGCCATCCATCAGTGCAGCGATGAGTCTCTGTCTCAGAGTGAGAGGATGCTGGCCTGCCTTCCTCTCCACACCAACCTCATCTTCCTCAACAAGCTGCTGGACAGGTAAGCTCATCACTTTCTTACATCTGCACAAGGTGTAAGAGAGAGGGGGAGTGAATGAATCAACGTGCTGCACGCAGCTCTACGATGAAATGAGAGTTTACACATTTTAAATAATCAAATTTGCAGTAAGTTGGCAGTGATTGGACAAAATTGGTGCCATCTTTATGTTTATGTTGTGTCCCTTGAGGTTGGACGAGGGCGTGGCTCTGTGCGAGTCTCTGCTGGAGTCTTGTCCCGAGTCGTGCGCTATGAGAGACGCTCTGGCTGAGCTCCACATCAGGAGGGGAGATGAAAATCAGGCGGTCAACATGTGGCTGCAGGCTCTGGCAGAGTGTCCCAACAACGCGGAGGTCTTCTACCATTCCTGCAAGTTCCTCATGGCTCAGGTGAGCTCAGCTGGTCACTGTCACATGTTGCTGTTGCCATGGAGATCTTTACAGACAGCATGACTGAGAAGAGTGTTGTGTAAATGTGTGACAGGAGAAGTCAAGTGCCATCGCTCCTCTGTTTCGAGTGTTCATCCTGTCGCTGTGTGAGGACCAGCAGAGTCAGAGGAAACCCGTGGACGTTCTGAGGTGTGTGAACTGTGATGATGTTTATATTTAATAGATATGAATGTTGAACACAACGAGGACTGTAGAGGAGTTACAGTCTGGTGTTTTCCTCCAATCAGACATATCCTTGGTTTCCCCACTGAGGGGCTGCTGAGAGGTCCCGTCATCAGGGAGCTTCAGGAGCAGCTCAGTGAACAGATGCCATACCTCCACCTCATCCACTGGTGGGTCTTCATCTTCTTATTATTGAATCATCTTGATTGATCAGGAGGTATACAGCAGACATGTGAGGGAGGATTTTGTTCCAGACTTTTCACAGCTGCTTTAAATCTGACTGAAAACCTTTTTTTGTTTTTTAATATAAATCTACAGAACAGAATCTTCTGTATTAGTTGCAGTCTGTAAATGACATGTTAAATAATGTTATTATGATATGTTGAATTGTTTTTGTTTGTTGCTTCAGTCGCTGGCAGTGGCTGCACGGCTCTGTGGATGACACGGTGGACGCCTTCGAGAGAGCGCTGGGCTCAGCCATGAAACTGGAGGAGCTTCACAAACTCTGGATGGAGTGAGTGTCACCTGTTGATGGTTTCATGTTCAGTTTTGACCTGCTGTTACAGCTAAGGGTCCAGTTTCTGTCACTTAAACATTTTCTAGCTTTGAACCTGCTTTGTCTCCCCTGTCAATCACCCCTGTGACGTCTCGCTGCGTGTCAGTCCTCAGTCACCTGGTGTTGAATCACCTGTGATGTCTCGCTGTGTCTCTGTCCTCAGTTACCTGGTGTTCAGCAGTCAGCAGGTCCAAGGTCCGTCCAACAGTCAGTCCAAACTGTTCTCAGATCTGGTCTACCGCTGTCTCAGCACCGTCCCATCTCGACTGGAGGTTCCCTTCAACCCGGCAGAGTTCTGGAGCTGCTACAGCTTCCACAACAAGGTGAGACACCTGTCTTGTCTGTCTGTCTGTCTGTCTGTACCATGAGACAGTTGACCTGTTAAAGATGTAAATGCTCTGTGCTGATTGGCTCTTCAGGTGGTGATGCTCTACCTGAGCTGTCTGCCGCAGTCCCAGCATGCACTTGTTCTGGAGAGATTAAGATATGCCATGCCCAACAACACTGAACTGGGCCTGAGGTACACACACACACACACACACACACACACACACACACACAGTCTGTAACAGCAGGTCAACACTCTGCCATCTAACACCAAGAAACCAGTCCAGCTGTCCCAGTATACAGGCTGGTGGTTTACTGATGTGTTGTCGTTGTTGTTGCTTCCTGAGTTGCTGTGTTGCTCCACAGGTTGCTGTATCAGGAGTGGCAGGACGGGAACATTGAACACCTGAAGTTCCAGGTCAGGATGCTGAGCAGTCTTGCTCCCAAGTGTTTGACCTACTGGAACATGTGAGTGAAACACACAAAAAACAGATGAGTTCAGTGTAACAGTGAAACCGGCAGACAGAATGCGTGTGTGATGATGACGATGATGACAAAGCCTTGAGGAGCTGATAGAGTGTGTGTGCTGTTTCTCTCAGAGCGATATCAGTGGAGAGGGAGCTGAAGGAGCCATCTGAGGTGAGTCAGTCCGACAGACTGCTGTGAAAACCTCATGAAAGTGAAGTTTGGCTGGACGTGTCTGATGATGATGTTGTTTCTTCCCTGCAGGTTTTATAGAAAGTTTTTATGTGTTTCAACAGGACAAAACCTCTGACTTCTCACACTGTGTTTGTTTGTCTGTGTATTTGTTTGTTTGTTTGTGAACTGACTCGATGCTCCGACGTCTGCTGTTTCTTTCTCTTTCATGTCACTGTGTTTCTATTGTAGGTTCGACTTCTGTATCAGCAGGCTCTCCAAACCCTTCCACTGTGTGCTGCCCTCTGGAAACATGTAATACACCCCCTTCACACACACACACACACACACACACACACACACACACACACACGGTCACTTCCTGTGTCTAAAGGTGGATCTAGCTCCTGTGTGGAGACAGATTGAGTCTTAAATCTGTGCAGAGTGTATCATAAACATTGTGCGACTGTCAGCAGACTGAAGCTCATGTTTCTCCTCCTGAACTCAGATCAGTTCATCACGTCCCGCCTGTAGGGACTCACCAGTTTAAGGTTCCAAACACACAGAAAGCCTTTTGGAGGCACATCTTTAGTTGTGCCTCAGGTTGACAAACACAAACACATTTGTTTATTTTCCTTTACTCTGAATTTTTTTAATCTTCACATGAGACACAGGAAGTGACACGTGTGACGAGGCCTTCATGTTCTTTGCACCTCACCTGTATACATGCATGTTCACCTGCTGCCCTCCCCCGTCCTCACCCCTCTCTCTCTCTGTCTGTCCCCACTCTCCCTGTGTCCCCCTCTCTTCAATCTCTCTGTCTCTCCCACCTCTCTCTGTGTCTCTGTCCCCCTCTTTCTGTGTTCTATTGTCCCTCTGTGTCCCTCTCCTCTCTTCCTGTTCATCTCCCCTCTCTTTCTGTCCTTCTGTCTCTCTTTGTTCTCCCCCCTCTCTCCGTCTGTCCGTCGCCTTCCTCTCCATCTGTGTCCCCCCTCTTTCTCTCTTTGCCCCATCTCTGTCTGTGCCCCCCTTCTTCCTCTCTGTCCGCCCATTCTCTGTGCTTGTCCCCTTTCTCTCCATGTACCCCTGTCTTTGTGTCTGTCCCCTGTCTTTCTTTGTCCCCCTTTCATGCGTGTGTCTATCCCCTTACTCTCTCTCTCTGTCCCTCTTTGTCCTTCCTCTCTCCCTGGCTCTCTTGCTGTGTCCCCTCTCTTCCTGTCTGTCCCCCTCTTTCTCTGTGTGCCCCCTCTCCCATTCTCTGTGCTTGTCCCCATCTTTGTGTCTGTCCCCTATCTTTCTTTGGCCCCCCCCCCCCCCCCCCCCCCCCCCCCCCCCCCCCCCCCCC